CTGACTCTCATGAACTCGTTTCCGTGGTCCCAATCTCTTAACCCCCTTTTCATGATCTCCTTTTGGTCATCCCATTCCCATCATCTCAATCCTGTAATCTCGTTTACAAAATTTTATACGAATGACCTCATTCTCAGAATCCCGTTTCCATGTTTCTCTTCTCAGAATTTATAATTTCATGATCCAATTCTCATGCTCTCATTCACACAATTCCATTTCTCATGATCCCGCTCCCTTGGTCTCATTGTTAATAACCACTCCAACAATCTTTTCCCATTGTCACATTCAAATGATCCCATACCCATGATGGCATCCTCGTTATTCTGTTCTCATAATCCCATCCCCATGCTTCCATTCCTATGATCTCATCCACATGTTCCCAATTTCATCTAGTTCTCATGATCCAGTTTCATGATCCAATTCTCTCGATGGGCCATTCCTATGATTAAGTTCTGGCAATTCCAGTTTCATTTTCTCATTCACATGTTCCCAATCTCATGGCCCTATTCTCATCCAAATTTCAATCCCGTTTTCATGACCTCATTCGCATGACTCGATCGATTCTCAATGTAACATTCTTGTTATCCCGTTCTCCTGACCCCATCGGGTTTGTCACAAACCCATTCTAAGCAGCAGCAGTGCCACGCACTTGCGTTCCCAAGCCACGCCTAGCAGCAACCACAGCAAAAACGGTAAAGCGGCAGAAGCAGCACTAGCAGTAGCATCATCATCAGTACTAGTAGATCCCGAGCCATTAAAATAGCATGTGGGAGGAGGCGTGGTGCAGGTGGGATGAGCATGGCTGGTGGGATGAGCATGGCTGGTGGGGGCTGGTGGCAGGCGCATGGCGGGACTTACCCCTTTTTGCACCCTGCTTGCAGGGTGTTGTGGGAGAGATGGCAGGAGAGGTGGAGGCATGTGGCCAGGTGGAGGCATGTGGCCAGGTGGAGGCATGTGGCCAGGTGGAGGGCGGCCTGTGCTGTGGGGAGGATGATGGAGGCACATGGCGATGGATCTGCTGTGCGCGGAATTCATGATCTTATTGATAGGTTAGATACTTGTTATTAGTTTGAATTCACTGTGTTCTTAGCTTTCTGTTATGATGTAGACTGCGACGGTCATCTCTGGTGTCATTCCCTTGTACTAGCTGGAGTGAGGAATGGAGGAGTGAAGCCGGAGGAGGGGAGGGTGGATCGGTTAGAAGTTGGGCCGTTGCTTTTGTCATCTCCCTCTTGCCATTCTCCCCATCTGGTGTTCTCGATATTTCCCAACGCTCATCTTCAACCATCTTACCACTGCATGAGCTGCCTTAGGAAACTCTGAATAATTCCCTCTTTCATTCACCCTCTGTTGGTTTTGCCATTGTCATTTCCCCCTTTTCTATTACTCTCATTGCCAATGTTGTTATGTTACTTCATTCTTCCAATTGTCAGTCTCTTTTTGACGATTTCCCTTCAGTCAGATTCCTCTCAATCAGCCCCCAATGAGGTTCCCCACTGTGCTTCGTTTGCACTATTACTTATTCTGGTCCACCCTTTTCCCGACTGCATGTTGCCTGTCCCAGGGAAACGTCATTCTTCCCTCCTTTCTTCTTCCCTTAGCAATCTCAACATCTCACTTGTTTCCTCTGCCATGCATTCTGCTGGCATGTCAAAGCATGATAGCTGCCTGCACATGCCCGCTTGCTCAAATGTGCATGATGTGCCTGCCTACTCATTCCATTTGATCCCCCCGTACACCCTAGTCATTTTTCCACTGTCATATGGCTCTTCCAATCCCACCTATCCTCCTGATAACGTTTGTATTATCCCATCCTCATGACCCCATCCATTGACCCCATTCAGTGTCCCTCTTATGAGTCAACTACATCAACATGTGCCATTTTTCTGTTCACTTCTGCTTCACCAACAGTTTAGCCATTTTCAAGTTAGTTTCCTCAATGCCTTCTTTCTTTTGTTCTGCTTCATCTTCCCACTACCATTGTTCATTCACTTGTATTGTCGTTTGCTACATCTTTTCGTACTGCATTTGTCCTGCCATTTTCACCTGTCAAGTCGAATTCGCATTGCCGTTCGACTTGCCGAATTCCCATTGCCAGTTCAATCTCAGTTCATACTGTCCAATCACCTTTCCGTTGTCAGTTTCCTGCTACCTTTCCCCATTGTCGATTGTCGTTGATTTCTCAACATCATTTCCACCCGGATTCCCACTGCCGGTTGCCGTGGAATTGCTCATTGCTGGTTGACCTGTCAACTTCACTTATCTGTTTCACCAGGTCATTACCCATTGCCATCCGCCCATTGCCATCCGCCCATTGCCATCCGCCCATTGATATCCTCCCATTGCTATCCTCCCATTGCTATCCCACCCATTGCCGCCCTCCCATGCCAGGTTCTTCCTTTGCCATCCCCTCCTCCTGCCCTTGCTGCCTCATGCATGGCCCGCACAGCCTTGCCCATTCACCTGCCCATCATCCACCACCCATCTCTCCTCCCCCATGCATTCCAGTGCATGCTTGCCATGCACACATGCCACCATTGGGGATCCACTCCCACACCCTCTCAGCCACGCCTGCCATGGGCCATCCCTGGCCCCTCCACCCTCCTCGCCCATCCCCTCCGCATGCCCACCCATACTGTGCTCACCGTGCCTTCCCATCCCATGCTCCCATGTTCCGAGTGCAACAAGCATGGCGCTTCCTCCCTTCATCAACTTCCACCATTTATTTCCCCTCGCTTGTTATTCCCCACTGTCACATTCGCATTGCTAATACTCCACTGCCCTCGTCCTACATGTCAACGTCCTATTGCCATGTTCGTATTGTTTTTAATCATTATCTCATTGATATCATCTCACTCTCATGTTCTCATTATTATCCTCCCATCATCATTCTTCCACTGATCACATGCCTCATACCTTCTGACCATTGTCACTTACCCACTTCGTACTCTCTTATTTTTCCTCTTTCACCCCATGTCACTTGTCCCACAAAGTTTCCTAATCTCAATCCCCTGTTGTCATGTCAAGTTTCCCGTCAAATCCTTTGATCACAACGGCACGTGAATTTTCCCCTTCTCATCGATCTCCATGCCGGAACAAAGCCCAGCACCAAATGTTCATCATTGGCCTTTCTAAGTTCAAAGACACAGGCCTGCACACCGTGCTATGATTAGAATACATGCTGTCACCTGCAATTTTAGAGCATATTATAGATGGATAGAGTCCAAGCAAGTGGGTGGTGTAGCATCTCTAAAGCCACAACATAAGTGGAATCGAACATGAGCCAGTATTGAGCTTGGCGCTCTGTATGTGAATGATGCAACGTGACACCATGAAAATTGATTCGTCGAGCAACAATACGACTATTAGAGCACTAACTACAATTGCAAGGGGGAAAATGTGGCATCGTAAACAGAGACCGGGTATTCGCGGGTACGCGGAACCATGCAATTGAACTTGAAGGAACCCCCTGGTGGGATGATCATAGCACTATCAAGTGCACTTAATGGAGGGAGTACCTGCGATTGGCAATCAGAGCAATCAGTTAAGAATCAAAATGGCAGCAGACACAACAACGCAGCAGGAGGAACATACTATAATTAACCAAAGTAAGGAGTGAAAAAGCAGAGGACTGAGGGAGATCAGGAGAGAATTGCAGTAATAAGGAGGATGAGTGAGTGAGGGAGAGTAGGAGCGAGGGTCCGAGGAAGGGCAGACCTTGAAGAAAATTATGGCTTGGAGAGTGTCGCGTTGTGTGGGCAGGAGGCGCGGCATGAGCATGTAGGAGCGCAGTCCCACACTCTGAATGCTGATGCTCATTGCAGCAATGGCACGCTGCCCACACGTGTTGCTCAGCGTGACCTGCAGAAGGAAGGCCGAGGCCGGAGGAGGGGGAGAGGTAGGGAGGAGGGAGAAGGGGGGGCGTGAGAAGGTGTGGAGGGATGAGAAAGCACACGCGAGGGGACCAAGCAAAAGAGAGAGAGAGAGAGAGAGAGAGAGAGAGAGAGAGAGAGAGAGAGAGAGATGGATAGAGAAAGAGAGAGAGAGAGAGAGAGAGAGAGAGAGAGAGAGAGAGAGAGAGAGAGAGAGAGAGAGAGAGAGAGAGAAGATGGCCTGCCACTTCAGCCAGCGCTGGTCAGTGGCCCTCCAGCGCTCCCAGGCGAATGCCCTGCACACCAAGGCCAGGGCGGGGATAGAGGCAGCGCACCCCCAGATGGCAGCGGACCCATGGCCGCTGCACCTAGGGGACATCCTCCACACGCTGGAGGGTTAGAGGGGCACTAAGGGGGGGGGGGGGGGGAGGGTCAGAGGGATGGGTTGATGGGTCGGAAGGTATAAGGGAGCCACGAGTCAAATTGCATGTCTGTACCCCCTGCCGAATTAATACAAAGGACCATTTGAGAGAGAGAGAGAGAGAGAGAGAGAGAGAGAGAGAGAGAGAGAGAGAGAGAGAAGAGGAATACTTTAGCCATCTTCCCTCAGCCTCTTCCCTCTTCCCTCAGCCTTCCCCGCCTATTTAAGGGCTGCTTGTGCCTTCCTTCAGTCATTATTTGGTGTGTGGTTCATTTTCGGAGGCTCGCACCGGCGGCCTTCGGCTGTGCGCTCCTGGTGGCAAGACACACAAGCGAAGGATCATCATAAAGGGGTACACAAACAACAACAAAAGCGAGGGAGCGGGGAACCGCCTAGAAGAGCAGCATGCAGTACTACACGCGGCGGAGGCCTACATCGTGTACGGCTCCGCCCCCTCAACCTCAAGCATCGAGCGCATGCACGCCGACACCGCAAGGAGGAGCTGCGCCGACGAGTGAAGAGTGTCAACCGGGGTCCCAACATGAGCAGCCCCAACAAGGTCCTCCACGTGGCGGGGGAAAGTACGCGCTAAGGGCGCTACCCCGGCGGGCGCTTCCGACACGGGTTCCAAAGGCAGGGCGAGAGCTTCTGCCCAAGACACGCACGATCCTCGGGACCCTGGAGCGTAACTGCCCGGAGAGTTACGCATGGCCCCACACACCGCCATCTGCAAGCTCGCCACCCCCTCGCACGCCTCCGCCAGATTCAACATCCGGCACATGGTCAGCATGGGGTCTCTCCCCGCGCGAGTGGGAGGAGGTGCAGTCAGAGCTTCGCGCGGAAACGCCGCCGGCCGGCCAGGGGCTCGGCCAAACGAGAACTGCTGAGCGTGGAAGCCTGGGGCCTGCCGAGCAGCGCGGAATGGCGCCCTCGCCTCCCGTGCGGGCTGATACTCGCGTAAGGTTGGCGCGCGAAGCGGAGCCGCCAGGCCAGGGTCCGAGGCGAGGGGAGGGCCATTGGTTACTTCAATGTGCACGTGAGTCGGCTCCCCACTCGCCTGCGCCTGTCGCACCGCCGCTGCCACAACGTTCACGGCTCGATCGACAACTGAATCGCGACGGGGACTGTTTCCTCCCCGACCCGAGCCATTCCGCCGACCTCGTCGGCCGCCAGACCCAGCAGATTGCGGACGCAGCGGAGACAGCTCGCGGCGTCCAGAGTCCCAGCGACGCCCAGGCGACCCCCTGCCCCTCCTAGCCGGAGATCGCCGAGGAGAGCGCTAACGCTGGGCTGCCCGACTACGAGGGGATTGATGATGAGGGGATCGAGGACGCGTGGGGGGATGCTGATCGCCCTCCGCGCGTCGGTGAAGTTCGCGACGCTCAGGAGAAGGGCGGCGAGGAGATTGCTGCCGCGGAGGCTGATGCGGCGGCAAGCGTCCGTGCTCCTGACGCGGCTGATCAGCAGGGCGGTTTGACGCAACGCGCACGGGAGCCCACGAGTACTCCGGCGAGGTGGGCCGCGCGGCAGGCCGAAGAGGAAGAGTCAGCCCACGCTCGAAGCGGCGGACGGGCTCACTTGCGGAGGGGCGCGCAGACGTGCGGACGAAGAGCGGCGGGCGCTGGCTCCGGCTGTGCGCTCTCCGCAGAACCCTCCAGCTCTGGATCTCGTCCCGCGGATGGGTCCATCATCCCCGACACTACCGCCGCCGACGCCAACGCGCCGACAAAGTGAAGACGACGTCGACGCCGCTCCCCAAATGGGGCGTGCGGGAGCTGCAAGAGGAAGAGCAACGCGGGGAATCCGCGTGGGACGCGGTAGCAGCCGCCGCGGACGACGTGGGAATGGGAGAGGACGAAGAGGTGGTGGAGCACGGGGAACAAACAGGCGCCGCACTGGAGCAAGCGGCTACGCGAGAACTGCAGAGCGGCTACTGCGGGAAGGCGTGGAAGGCGGCGAGGAGGCGCCTGACGAGGAAGCGGAGGAGGAAGTTGAGAATGAAGAAAGTGACGGGGGTGACCCTGCTTTTAACCCCGAAAGAGAGGGGATCTCGGATGCTGAAGCCGAGGAGGATGAGGAAGAGGTGGAGCTTCTGCTCCGAGGAGCAGAGTTCCCCGACCTGCAGGCCCGGGGCGAGCCTGCAAACCGAACCACATTACGAGATCGAGGTGCGGGGGGAAATCAAGCAGGAGGGGGAAATCAAGCCGCGACAGAAGACGGAGTCAACTTTGCAGCAGCCAATGGGAATCCTGCAGCCCCAATTCCAACCCCCCCGATGCTCAAACCTGACGACCTGGCGAAAAATTCTGACCTCTTCGCACAGGTTGCAGATTGGGACCTCGACCCGTTGCGCGACAGTCACCAACCGCCACTCGCCCGCCACCCCCCAAAACACCTTCACAACTCCTTCGCGATTTGTTTGCTGACACCGTTACTCCACCTGGCAGCCAATCCCGAGTCTGCGCCAGGATGGAAGTTACTGACCTATCTCCCGCGCATACTCCTTCGCACCTCGTTAGCCCGTAAACCTGACTGGTGCGCGATGATGAACTGGCTCCTCCAATTTCGCCAAGGGTTCTGGGCCGGCCTATACGAAGAAGCTGTTGAGGCGATTTCCCTCCCACCGCAACCTCGCCACGCACCTGACACAACTGAATACTCGCCAGAGCGGAAGGACTGGCGAAGCGTGGTAACCTGTTGAAAACACTGCAATCCCTCCAAGCCACACCCGTGTCACCTGCCTCACCTGAAGTGCTGGAGGCCCTCACGTCGTGACACCCACATGCATGTCAAACGTTACCTGATTGGCTACACGCCTTCACAGCTGTAAACTCACCCGCTATCGAAGCCCGCGACTTCAGGCGGCTCATTGCCAAGCTCCCCAATGGAGTCGGGGCTGGACCCTCTGGAACCACTTTCGAGCACATTCGCGACGCAGCCTTAGGAAATGCGAAGTATTCACCCACCTCCTCGCCCTCTCTAACACGGCTCTAGCAGGGAAACTACCTGCCGTCGCGGGGGAACTCCTAACGGCCTCCCGCCTGTTGGCCTTTTCGAAACCACAAGGGGGGACGAGGCCGATCGCGGTAGGAGAATGCCTCCTTCGGATTATCGCCAAAGCTGCACTCTTCCTGACCGCGCCGGCCGCTCGATCTTACTTCGCCCCCCTTCAGTTTGGTGTGGCAGTAGCGGGGGGGATTGAAGCGGCTGCTATCCACACGGCGCGTACATACCTGGAAGTCCATCCTGAAGCGGTAGCGCTGCAAATTGACCTCGCGAACGCGTTCAACGCGGTCGAAAGGAGAGCGGTGTTCGAGGGACTAAAAAACGAGGCGCTGGAAGATCTGATCCCCCTCGTCCGCCTCTCCTATGGGGCCCCCTCCTCACTTTACCTCGACCACGACTTCGGCGCAGCCCCACTGCAGAGCGCCAGAGGAGTCCGCCAAGGGGACCCGCTTGGTCCCCTCCTGTTCGCGGCAAGTATCCACCCGTGCCTCGCTAACACGGCAGCTGCACACCCACAGTTGGTCCTGCTAGCATACGCCGATGACATCACGCTGCTCGGTGACGCCACGGCCTGCACAGCAGCGTTCGACCACCTCACATCCGCGCTTGCCGCCCTCAGCCTGGTACACAACCCGGCCAAGTGCGCGGCATGGTCTGCTGCAGAAATAGATCCCTCATCCGTACCCCCAGGCATCACTATTTCTGAAGAGGGGTTGCAGATTCTCGACAGCCCCATCGGCACACCCCAGGGCTGCGCCAGCGCGGTGAGGGAGAGACTAGCAGCAGCAGCAGCACCGCTCCCCCTGCTGGCCCAGATGGATCCCCAGCTTAGCCTCCTCTCCTCACCCGCTGTGTCAGCCGCCGCACCTCCTTTTTGGCCAGAACCACCCCCCTGGAGGCGCTACCTGAAACGGAATGGTCTGCTTGGGGTGAGCAGCTTCTACTCACCTTCCTGGACTCGGCCCACATCATGGCCCCCAGGAGTGCCAAGGAGAGACGAAGGATTCGGTGGCAGGCGGCCCTGCCGGTGACGCTGGGAGGTCTAGGCATCACTGACCCCGCCATTGAAGGCAGCTACGCCTACCTCGCTTCGGTGATCAGCGCCGCCCACCTCCTGCACTCCCTGGAGGACTCACTGCACCCCGCTGTTGCCGCGCTCCTCCCCGTACTGGACCCGACCCACGGCTCCCCGCACGCGCTGCCAGCACGCCTCGCTGCTGCAGAGGCAGCTCTCCCCCCAGAGGCTCTAGAAGTGCTCCAGGCCGGGAAGGCAGACCCGAAGGGACTGAAGCTGCAGCAGTCTCTGGCACTGGCGGTTCACTCCCGCCGCTTCCTGAGGGTTATGCGCGAGGCGAGGCGGATGCGCCCCAACCCCTTTTCTGGCCACGCGCAGCGGATGCAGTCGGTGCTAGGCCCAGACGCAGGGGACTGGCTGTTAGCGATTCCCCTCATCCCCTCGCTCCGGATGGGCCCATCCCAGCTCTCAACTGCAGCCGCCCTCCGCCTAGGCCTCCCCCTCCCCATGCCTAGACGCTGTGACTGCCGTTACCGCACCACCTTCCTTGATGACCACCTCATGCGCTGCGAGAAGGGGAAAGGGAGGATTGCTACTCACCATGCTCTTCGGGATGAGATAGCAAACATAGGGGCAGAGGCGGGCTTTACGGTACACAAGGAGACGTACGTCTACTCTCTAGTTGAAAACCTTAAGGCGGATGTCACCATCCGTCATCCCCTGACTGGAGAGGTGTGGATGTGCGACGTGACCGTTACAGACCCTATGTCCTACCAGGATGAGAATTGCAACCGTGCCCTGGACGGGCGGCTAGAGCGGCAGCAGTGAGAAAGGAGGAGAAGTACGCTCGCAGGAATGCGTGGGTGGGGTTCCACGCGCTTGCGGTGGAGACTTATGGCTACCCCTCACCAGGGGTGATGGCTTACTTGCGGCAATGCGCGGAGCTGGCGGCTAAGCTGCGTTTTAACGCAGCACCAACCTCTTACGAAGCGGCTAAGCTGCTAACGGAATACCGCCAGCGCTGGAGCGTGTGCCTCCAGCGGGCGCAGGCCAATGCCCTCCGCACCAAGACCAACGAGGCCTTGGCGGCGGACGAGCTCGGCATGCAGGGACCCATTGTCCCTCTTAGTGAGGGGCAGCTGCACCAGTTGATTGAGCCCCCGTTCGACCACTAGGGTCGGACAGAGGGGGGGGCGGGAGTGGGTTAGATGTGTGGTAGACAGGATACCGGTTTGATGTTTGTTTGGCATGTGTTTGCATCTTCCTCTGTATCACCCCTAAATTAATGCAAGGACCATTCGAGAGAGAAAGAGCTATGGGGTGTTGGGAAGTCCTATGGGGTCGCAGAGCTTCTGCTCTGCCTTTGTCCGCAGTACCCTGACAGACGCGACAGCCCCCCTGGGTTCTCTGGCGTCCATCCACCCACAACACGCCCTCCTGCTACTGTCCCGTTGCATCAGCCGCAGAATCTGCTACCTGCTGCGCACTACCCCAGCAGACGTCTTACCCCTCTCGGAATGGCACACATGGTGCTCCGAACTGCTGCACACTGCCTTGACCGCCGCCAGCATTCAACCGCCACGCCGAGAAGCCGAGTTCAACTTCCTGCTCTGACAAGCAACTCTTCCAGTCGCCCTGGGCGGGCTGGGCCTTACAGACCCCACAACAGAAGCAGCACCGGCCTACCTGGCATCAACGACAGAGGCGTTACGACTGCTCCGCTCCCTTGACCTACCAGCAACCGCGGTGCTGGGGGCCAACAACACCCTGCAGCCGTCCGCATCGCACTCGGTAACCATCTAGGACATGGAGGGGCGCCTGCCATCGCTGGCGCTACAAAACCTCAGGGAGGAGCAGCAAACCCCGTCCCAAGACCAGCTGCAACGCGCCCTCTCTCAGGAGGTGCACGCGGCAAAGGCCGACGCCTTGACAGAGGAGTCACGCACCATCCAGTCAGCCCCCGAGATGGGTCACTCACTCCGCCTTATCAGCTTGAGAGGGGAGGGAGCGGGAGCATGGCTGCAGGCCCTACCTTTGACCCCGGACCTTTGCTTCTCACCGGGACAATTCTGAGCAGCCCTAGCCTTCCGCATGAGCATCCGACAGAATGTACCCACCGTGTGCGAGTGTGGAGACCTCGTAGCCGACTGCAGCCTACCCAACCACTTACTCCGCTGCAGCACAGGCACCGACAGGACGCGCACACACAACCAGCTAGCTTTCGCCGTGGCTAAAATGGCAAGGGAAGCAGAGCTGGTGGTATACCTGGAGAACGCCATGTACTCACCGCCGGATGACCCGAAGAAAGCCGATGTGATTGTATGCGACCCGGACAGTGGAGAGACTTGGATTACAGACCCCGTGCTGCAGAACCGGGACCCCACGGCACGCAAACCCCCAGGCTGGGCTGCTAGAGAGGCACAGAGGCGGAAGGAGAGGGAGTAATACCGACACACGGAACACGTGGTGTTCTGCGCCCTGGCCGTCGAGACCTACGGGGCAAACGCGCCCCCCACGACGGCGTTCCTGAAGCTGCTGGCCACAGCAGCAGCTGGGAACCATTTCAGGGCCAACCCCTTGGCGAAATCGGCCAAGAAGATGGCCTGCCACTTCAGCTAGCGCTGGTCAGTGGCCCTCCAGCGCTCCCAGGCGAACGCCCTGCACACCAAGGCCAGGGCTGGAATCGAGGCAGCGCACCCCCAGATGGCAGCGGACCCATGGCAGCGAACTTCAGTTTGGTTCGAGATAGCTTGAACCGAACTTTTTTTTTTCGTGAAAAAAGTTTGCGCGAACTTCACTGAAGTTCGCGCGAACCGTTTGTGCAAACTTTTTGGGTTCGAGATAAGAACCTCGAACCGAACATGTTTGAGGTTCGAATCTTGTTATTTCGAACAGAGAGGGGTTCGAGATTACCCCCTCCCGCGCCACGAAAACACTCGCGACTTTCCCGTCAAAATCGGGAAAGTCCTGGTGTTGGCTGCCATTTCACGGCAGCCAACCCTAGTCTCGCCAAATTAGTGGACTAGATCTAGACCTAGTCCTACTCTAGGCTCTAAGCACACAACCATGGTTTCTCTAGATCCTTTCAAGCATTTTGTCATTTATTTAAGTCAGATCAGTGCACCTTCTTCAATTTCCAGGGAATAAGGGCTCCGTTACTTTTTTTAAGTTTACTTCTAGGCATTCCGTTTTTTAGGTCTTAGAGCAAGAAATTCGATTTTCCAAGGTGGTTTAGGGACTGCAACTATGTCGAATTACGTTCAGCCCCGCAATGGCGCCGTCATGGAGCACCAAGAGGACACGACCGAACGCGGGCAGCAAGATGCTCCCATGCGTGGTCCACCGGCCCGGTTTGGGGAAGTCTCATTGGGACTCCCTGGGTCGGTTCGCACATTCAGAGTGGGCACGGAGCTGCGGGGGGTGCGAGCGAGCATTCTCACACAGCAAGAACTTGATCACCTTCCAGCGCACACGCTGTGAGAATACGAGTTAAGAGTGAAGTTGATTTGATTGAGAATCATGGGGGTATACATAGTAATGGGGTTGGATGCTAGCCTAAGGTGACCTTATTGGACCCCAACCAAGAAGTTGGGTTGGGAGATTATTGGTGAGGTCCAATAATGTTGGCCAAGTTGGGGTTGGGCCAACATTATTGGAGGGGGCCAATAATTCTACCCAACCCAACCTTTTGGGGTCCAATAATTGGACCAAGGTTGGGTTCCAACCTACAAACTGGGTTACCCCTGTTTGTACACCCAAACTAAGTTTGGGTGCTTAACTCTAGCCTATCCTATAGCATATATGCAGGTTACAAGAGGAGAGGGATTCTAACACAACCCCTTAACCTGCAGAGATGCGGAAAGGCTTGAGGGAAGCAACCCCTGAATCAAGGCGCGCCTGGGGGAGCGAGGCCGATGAGGCGGAGAAGAGCAGAGTGCGCAGGGCGAAGAAGGGCTTTGGTAAAGATATCAGCCAAGTTGGCTTCAGCAGCGATCTTGCGAACGGCAATGAGGTTCTGCTGGACGAGTTCGCGGATGAAGAAATAGCGGAGCTCAATGTGCTTGGAGCGACCATGAAAGACGGGGTCCTGGGTGAGATGGATGGTGCTAGCGTTGTCACACCAGAGCGTGGGACAGCGCTGGGGTGCACCAAGCTCTGCCAGAAGAAAGCAGAGCCAGCGGGACTCTTGCGCGGCCATGGTGCCAGCATAGAGCTCAGCTTCGCAGGATGAGAGGGCGACGGCAGATGAGCGAGTAGAACGCCAGCTGATAAGCCCGCTGCCGAGCGTGAAGCCATAGCCTTGCGAGGAGCGGCGGTCTAGCTGGGAGTCTGCCCAGGAGGTGTCGCTGAAGCCAGAGAGAAGGGGAGGGGAGGATCCACCCAATGTGAGGGCGTGATCCTTGGTGCCACGGAGATAGCGGAGGACCCGCTTGGCGGCAGCCCAGTGTTCCTCAGTGTGGCGGCCGGAGCCGACGAACCGAGCAAGGACGCTGATGGGGTAGGCGAGGTCGGGACGAGTGCACATCATCGCGTACATCAGCGACCCAACAAGCTCGGCATAGGGCCGGGAGGAGGTGGAGGGGGAGGTGGGAGGCGCAAGCTGGTGACCGAAGGGGAGGGGGGTGGAGACCGGTTTGGCCTGCGCCATCTCGAACTTCTCCAGGACGTGGCCGATGTAGTGGGACTGGGAGAGGGTGATGGTGCGGGCGGATCGATCACGAGTGATAGCCATGCCGAGGTAGTTCTGCAGCGGACCAAGGTCCTTGCACTTGAGACGTTCCTGAAGTGACCGCTTCACTTGCTCCATGTCGGCCTTGGTGTCAGCGAGCAGGATCATGTCGTCAACGTAGACCGAGATGAAGCGACGGGGGGAAGAGCGGATGAAGAGGCTGGCATCGGAGTGGGAGGCGGAGAACCCAAGGGACTGGAGAGTGGCAGACAGCTTCGCATGCCATTCTCGTGGTGCCTGCTTCAGGCCGTAAACAGGTCGCCGAAGTTGCCAGACGGTGTTGTCAGGGAAAGCAGCATGAAACCCGGGAGGCCGGCGGAGGAAGATACGCTCGTGCAGTTCGCCTTGCAGGAACGCGTTGGAGACGTCCATGGAGTCAATCTCCATGTCGTCACGCGCACCAATGTCCATAAGGGTGCGTAGGGTGGCCTGCTTGACAGTGGGGGCAAATGTGAACCAGTAGTCTTCAGCCCAGGTCTGGGTGAACCCCTTGGCAACATATCGGGCTTTGTAGACTGGTTCTTCTCCCGGCAGCTGCTTGACTCGAAAGATCCACTTGCCCTCGACAAGGTTGGCGTCAGGGGGGAGGGGAACGTCGATGAAGGAGTCGTTGCGGATAAATGCCTCACATTCCAGGAAGATGGCAGCTATCCACTTGTCAGCGTCAGGGCAGGTGATAGCCTCCTGGAAGGTGGAGGGGACGAAGATGGTGGGAGCGGAGATTGCGCTAAGGATCAGAGCGCCGAGGAGGCCAGGGTAGAGCGTGGTGAGAGAGGGAGTGTGGCGCTGGACCATGGTGAACTCCTCATGGGAATCCTCGAGCTGGTTGAGGGAGGGAGGTGGCGGTGTGCCAAGGATGGGATCAAGGGAGCGGGTGTGCATGCGAGGGAGGAGGAAGGGTGAGGAGCGGGCAGTTGCCCTCTGCCGCTGCTGCTGCTGCTGCTGCTGGAACCCCTCCTGCTGCTGCGGCTGCTGCTCCTCCCGATGCTGCTGCCCCTGCTGCTGCTGCCCCTGCTGCTGCCCCTGCTGCTGCTGCTGCTACTGCCCCTGCTGCTGCTGCTGCTGCTACTGCTGCTGCTGGGACGGAAGAGAAGGAGAGGGGGGAGGGGAGGAGGGAGGGGGGGCCGCGGAGTGTGCAGGGGATGCAGGAGCAGTGGGATCGTAGATGTCGGCAAATGTGGGTGGCGGAAGCGGAGTAGGGAGAGGTGGGAGAAGGGGTGCAGGAGGGAGGAGGGGAGGGAGCACAGTGTCGGTCCAGGTGAGAGGACGTGTAGGAGGAGGGAGGGGGTCTGGTGGTGAAGAGGAGTAATAGGGGGTGGTTTCGTCAAAGACGACGTCAATGCTGCGGATAAGGCGTCCAGAGGGAGGGTGAAGGAAGAGGTAGCCAGGCGAGTCGCGGTTGTGCCCGAGGGAGACACACTCGAGGGCGCGAGAAGCGAGCTTGCCGTTGGTGCGATCGGGTGGAGGGATAAGTACATATGCCTTGCAACCCCAGACACGGAGACCAGCAGCGTCAGGTTTGGTGCCCGACCAGAGTTCCGTGGGGGTGGTGGTAGTATGTTGAGGATGGGAGTGAAGGTTGAGGAGGAGGGCAGCATGGAGCAGAGCATAGCTCCAGAGGGAAGGAGGGGTGGAGGCGTGAGCGAGGAGACAGCGGGCGATCTTGGTGATTTCGCGAATTCGGCTTTCTGCGACACCATTCTGCTGCGGGGAGTGGGGAAGGGTGTGAGTCTGTTGGATGCCATGGGTGGTGCAGTAATGGGAGAGAGTGCGATTGAGGAATTCGCCTCCCCCATCAGAGTGTAGGCGGCTGATGGGACGCTTGAAGTGGGCGCGGCATTGCTCTGCCCAGTTGATGATCATGGTCGGCGCCTGGTCTTTCGTGTGGAGGAGGAAAATGGAGGAGTAGCGGCTGTGGTCGTCTACGAGGACCAGCATGTAGCGATGGCCCTGACGGGAACGCCCGTGCTCCTGACGAGGCGCACCAGCAGGACGGTTCGACGCAACACGAGCAGGGGCCCACAAATACTCCGATGAGGGGGGCTGAGGGACGCTCCGAAGAGGAAGAGACAGGCCGCGTTCGAAGCGGCGGACGGGCTCACTTGCGGAGGGGCATGCGGAGGGACGCGGACGAGGCGCGGCAGGTTCCTGCCCCTGCTGCGTGCTCTCCGCTGTTCCCTCCAGCGCAAGATCATGACCCCGGGTTGGGTCCATTACGGCCGATTCCACCGCCGCCGACGCCAGCGCACCGTCAAAGGGGGGGGGGGGGTGCTGCCACCGCGCCAACCGCGAGGCACTCGGGAGCAGCGAGAGAAAGAGAAGCGCGGGGATTTCGGGTGGGACAAGGCAGCAACCGCCGCGGACGCGGACACGGCGCCACAACGCGGAGAAGAGGCGCGAGCAGCTTCGCGAGAGCAGCACAGCGGGTCCTGCGGCAGAGAGCTAGGGAGGGAGGAGAACAACGTGGTGTCGAATCTGAGAATGGATCTGGGGGTGACCCTGAATTTATCCTTGAAAGGGAGGGAGGTTCAGATCCCTCAACAGAAGAAGTGGATGAAGCGGTTGACCCAGCCCAGAGGGCGGGCCACAACCCACATGGGGGTCCAACCGCATCTACAATTCGAACCCCCCAAAATCGGGCCGCGAGGGGAAATCGAGCCGCCCCCAACACACGGGTTACCATATCGCCAGCCCATAACCCAGCCCCCGAGCCTGCCACCCCGGTCCCAATCATCAGCGCGGATGATTTGGCGACGCGTCTGGACCTCTTCGACGACGTCGCCAACTGGGACCTCTGCCCACTGCGCGACAGCAGACAGCCCCCCCTTGCCCGCCACCCACCCCGCCCACTTCGCGAATCCTTCGCGATATTCCTGCTGACACCACTGCTGCACTTGGCGAAAAACCCAGACTCTATCGCGTGATGGAAGCTACTGATGTTTCTCCCGCGTATTCTGCTGCGCACCTCGTCAGCCCGCACACCTGATTGGAAAGCCATGGGCGCAAGGCTGACGCGATTCCGCCAAGGCCAGTGGCGTAACCTGTACGACGAGGCAGCTGACGCGGTTACCAGTAATCCTCAACCACGCCACGTATCTGACGTCACTAACAAGCTCTCGCGGGCCAAAGGCTTGGCTAAAAGAGGGAACCTGGCGAAATCACTACAGACTCTGACTGCCACGCCCGTCTGCACACCGAGCGATGAAGTCCTCAGCGCGCTCACAGCTAGACACCCAGACGCCACCACGGCCATCCCTTCCTGGGTGCATGACTTCGCCCAAGAAAACGTCCCTTTCATCGCTGCCCGGGATTTCAGGCGACTGCTGGCAAAACATCACAAAAACCCCCCTATTATATTGGTCAATTATTGCTCCAACTTTGGTGTTTCCATCCAAAATTGGACCATTAATGGTCTCATTGTTTGGTACAATATTGGTATAGTTGCTAAGATGAACTTTGGGCTATGTTTGGCCAAAGTTTAGGTGAATTTGATGACCATTTTTTCTCCAAGCCTACTCTCAACTTTATCCCAAGTTGAACCAAGTATGGTCCCAATCTAGAGTCTCCTGTGTCTTGGGTTGGCCCTATACGAAACTGTCATTTGCATGAAATTTCTGTTTGAAATATTTTATTGCAAAATCAAAATACAGCATAGTGTACCTCTAGATACAGCAAAACAATACATTACAACTGTACTGCTCCTACACTACACTGATTAAAGGTTACTAAATCCTTCTGCTAAAGCTACTGCTGGCTGCTACTGCCACTGCTATGCTCCTCCGCACCTGTCTCCCTGTTGCTGCTACTGGTTGCTACTGCCACTGCTATGCTCCTCCGCACCTGTCCCCCTGCTGGCCCTGCTGCTCCGCACCTGTCCCCCCTGCTGCTGCTACTAGTTGCTACTGCCACTGCTACGCCCCTCTGCACCTGTCTCCCTGCTGCTCCTGCAGGTTGCTAATGCTGCTGCTACGCCCCTCTGCACCTGTCTCCTTGCTGCTCCTGCAGGTTGCTAATGCCGCTGCTACGCCCCTCTGCACCTGTCTCCCTGCTGCTCCTGCAGGTTGCTAATGCCGCTGCTACGCCCCTCTGCACCTGTCTCCCTGCTGCTCCTGCAGGTTGCTACTGCCGCTGCTACGCCCCTCCGCACCTGCAGATTGCTACTGCCTTTGCTATGCCCCTCGTTTTCCTGTCATCCTGCTGTTCCTGCAGATTGCTGCTGCCACTAATGTGCCCTTCCGCACCTGTCCCCCTGCTGCTGTCTCAGATTGCTGCATCCACTGCTATGCCCCTCGTTTTCCCGTCCCGTTGCTGTTCCTGCTGATTGCTACTTCCACTGATGCGCCCTTCTGCACTTGTCCCCCTGCTGCTGTTGCAAATTGCTGCATCCACTGATATGCCCCTCGTTTTCTGTCCTCCTGCTCCTGCAGATTTCTACAGCCACTGAAATGCCCCTCTGCACCGTTCCCCCTGCTCCTGCTGCAGATTGCTACTGCCTCTGCTTAGCCCCTCTGCACCTGTCCCCCTGCTGATGTTGCAGATTGCTACTGCCACTGCGAAGCCCCTCCGCACCGATCCCCCTGCTGCTGCTGCAGATTGCTACTGCCACTACTAAGCCCCTCCGCACATATCCCCCTAGTGCTGCTGTAGATCTCTGTGATCACGGGTTGGGGGTGACAACCCGGGCTGGTGCAGGTCGTGCTGCCTGCGCAAAGAGGCATGGGGGACGGAAGGAAGGGGACAGTAGAGACGGGAGGAAGGGGACGGAAGAGATGGGAGGAAGGGGAAGGGGACGGAAGAGATGGGAGGAAGGGGAAGGGGACGGAAGAGATGGTGAGTGATGCAACAAAGCTGGTGCCACAGCACGGCGTTGGTGCCACATGAGCATTGTGTTGGAGCCATCTCAGCAAGGTTTTGGTCCTATGGATGACTTACCTGCACCCTGCTGACAAGGGTCTCCATGTCAGACGCGTCGATGTAGACGCCGTTGGGGAAGTTGAATGTGTTCGTGTTGCTGGCGTATGGGACACCATGGTCCATGACAGCGATCTCGACCTCCCGCTTCACAAGGGTGCACATCTCCTCGTACTGGATCCGATTGTACTCCCACTTGCCGCTCAACTTCCCATCGGGCGCATTGTTAAGGATTGGCCACTCGAACTGTAGGAATATGGTGGGGATGAGGTGGGGATGTAGTGGAATAGATGAACAGACAAGGGTTAACACATGAAAACACTAGATGGCTCACCGCATACGTGGCATCAAACATAGCAACATGTCCATAAACTCACTGCATATAAGATCCAGCCCAGCTGGCGGGTCTTAATCTTCTCGGTATTGACCCCACGGCGCGCCAAAGCCAACTTGATGGACACCGAGAAGATGAGGCTGCCGAACGGGATGAGGAGCTCACGGTGCCAAGCCAGTCCCCTCTCCCCTGTAATGGGATTGTGTGGTGATAGGAAACAAAGGGATGAAAATTGCTGACTCTATGGTGAATAGGGGGCAACCGAAAGTTGGTAAGGTAAAGCCTCAACTCCCTATACCTGGATGGCTTTTGAGGCGCCTCAAAACTTTTGAGTTTTGAGGCGCCTCAAAAGTCGTCTCCTGTCTCGCGGTTTTTATGTGGGGAGAATTATAATTGCATGGAAGTGTGCGCGTAACCTTCAGCGGTTACTTGTAAGGGCGCGGTTACCAAAGTCACTCGCCAATGTTGTCGAAGAAGTTCCCGAAGGCTGACTTGGCACCCTGAATTTGTTTCATTGCCTAGTTGGCGAACCCCTTTCCTAGTTGGATTCTGGGTAGTCGGGTTTCTTGTATGTAGATCTCGAGGGTAGTCTAGCTACTTTAGCTGCTACCAGACTCTCTGTTTCTGAGTTCCGAATTGTGCTGTACTGATGAAGGCGTGATTGGGTTCGCCCATCCGCCGAAACTAGTTTACGCAAGGAGGCTTTTCGGAAGCTAAGGGTTTTTCAGATCTGCGTTTTTTTTTTTCACCAGTTTTCACTGTTTGTTCCTTTGCTTAAGCGTCCTCTCTGCTACTGCAGCCCTTCGAAACATGAGTCAGGGTGACCCTTGGGATACCGAATGGTTTCCAGAAAACGAAGAGGCCGGTACTGAAGGACGCGGCTCGTCGAAGAAAGCTCGTGGGCGTGGAGGATCGTCGCGTCCTGCTACCAGGAGTGCATCGAAGCACTCGCGGGACGGCAGTCGTATTCCGCCTTTGCAGTTGACCTACGAACCTGTTTCACGAAGCAAGCAACCTGAGATTCCTCCCCCCGGACCTTCTGGGAGTCGTCTAAGCATGGAGATGCCGGATCAGCCCGTTGACAATTCTCCGATTCCTGAAATTTTCAAGAGTTGGACTGCTGCAGCGGTGAAAGATTTCCGGGACGGCTTCAAGGACCTTCTTAAAGCGAAAAGCAAGCTTAAAAAGATGAAGGAGTTGGATCGCCAAGGTTCTATTCTGCACAGCATTAGGACTAAGGCGGTCGAATTCCAGACGAAGAACGACTCCGTCAAAGAGAAATCTGCAGCAGCTGTCGCGAAGATCCATTTGGAGAATAAAAAACGGCTGCAGGCGGAGTTTATCGCTTCTAAAGAACTGGAGGTTGAAGAAATTCAGGCAGCTGTCGGCACGCATGTCACGACTCTGGCGACGAAGATGGAAGAGTACATCAAGGGCCTCAGCTCCGACCCCGATCTGGTGGTTTCTGATGCCGCCAAAGAACGCTATAGGCGACTGAAGGGGCGGTGCATCGAGAAGGCTCAATCTGACATCGCGGCGGCCAAGGATGAGATGACCATCCGAGAGATCGATCGACAGCATAAGCTGGCGGCTGAGGATTTGAAGAAGGCTGCTGCAGCTGAGGAGGTGCAGGAGATGGAAATGGAGCCTGCGATTGAGGAGATTCTAGCTAAGCATGCCAAGAAGATTGAAGACAAGCTTCGGCGGGAGATTACGCAGAAGCTTGAGGCCAGTCTATCTAAGAAGCTGCAGAAGAATCTTCACATCGGAGAGCAGAACTCTTCGCAGGCCGCATCCGCTGACAAGAAGCAGACGGCTCAACCTGGGAGGCAGGACGGTGCACCTGGGAAGCCTAAGCCGAAGAAGAAGCGGGGTGGTAAGACTCCAAAGAAGCAGAATTCCAGCGCCGACAAAGAGCAGCAGGCGAAAGGCCCTACCACATCGAAGGCCAAGGGACCAAAAAACGGCGGAGGCAGCCCCGAAAAAGGGCCGCACAAGAAGTGACCAGCCACCAGTTGGCGCTCCGTTGGTTCGCGAAGCTAACGTTTCGGCAGGCGGCGTTACGAGTTCGCAACCGCGGAGTTCATAACCTCAGCGCCAAAGTCTTGTCCTCGGATGAGAAGAAAGCGCTGGGGCTTGGTCTGAAGTTTATCCCAACGCCCGCTGTTTCCCTTTCTACGGTCGAGTTAGATCAGCTTTGCCGACAGATTTCGCTACGTTTCTTCTTCAAGGATGCAGACCCGGTTAAGGACTATCGTTTTCGAGTGAGAAATCCGAGCTGGGCACCTGATCGGAGTGAGATTCCGGAGCAGGTCTTCAGAGATTCGTCCTCAGACTTATCTTTTCTGCTGAAGGCATCTAGGCCTCCTCGACACCGAAACATCTCGTTACGTGTTCGACAGGCCTTGCGTTCCATCGCCGCAGATCGTAGTGTGGTTATTAAACCGGCCGACAAGAACATTGGGATCACCGTGATGAGTCGGGAACTTTATGTTCGTCTCTGTATGGACCATTTAGGCGACAGATCGACTTACACCCCGATTCTCCACGATCCTACTGCCTTAGTCGTTCAGGGACTGCACGAACTGCGTCACGCATGGGGCCCTGCTTATCCCGACAGCCTTTGGAAGTACTTTTTAGACGAACCACCTGGAGGTTGGAAACCCGCAGCCTTTTACATCCTTCCTAAGCTACATAAGAAGCAGCTCGCTGGGCGTCCGATCGCCGCTTCGCATTCATGGGTTACTTCGAATGTTAGCAGATGGTTAGATGCGGAGCTTAGGCCGTGGGTGCTACGACAGCATACTTACCTCCGAGACTCTCTTTCGCTACTCTTGTCGCTGGAGGAAACTTCATTTCCTAACGAGATTCTTCTAGCCACGTACGATGTCTCGTCGCTTTACCCCAGTATTCCCCTCAGGCGCGGACTCGATGCGGTGAGCAGCATTTTGCAACGAGGGAGTCACCACAGCTTTCAACCAGTCATGGCCCTGCTGGAGTGGGTCATGATGAATTCTTACGTGGAGTTCGACGGCCACCTGTACCATCAGACACAAGGGACCGCTATGGGAACTTCAGCAGCGGTTTGCTTTGCGGTACTATTCATGAGCCGCCTGGATGAACTTTTGAAGGAGAGATGGTCCGGAACGCAACCTCTACGCCATGTCAGATACATCGACGATGGCCTGATTCTTTGGCCTGGTTCGAGGAGTGAGTTGGAGAAGTATCTGCAGACCTTCAACGAGCTTGACCCGAATATCAAACTGACGTGGCAGATTTCGGACAGTTCAGCTGACTTTCTTGATTTGGTCCTGTTCAAGGGACCGAGATTTGCTGAGCAGGGTATCCTGGATCTGAAGACATTCCAGAAACCACTTAACCGATACCTGTATCTCCCTTTCTCGTCTTTTCACCCCCGACACTGCAAGACTGGTTTCATTGCAGCTGAACTGAAGCGCTATCTTCTCCGCTCGACCGCTGCTGATACCTTTCTCGCCTCTAAGCGCGCTTTCTACCAGCGGCTACGAAGTCGGGGTTACCCCTCTGATTTCCTTCTACCCATCTTCAGGAGCATTTTCTTTCGTCAACGACCTCTCCTTCTGGAGCAGACTGCTGCCCGCCACGCACACAAACTTGAAACTCCCCCCGAACGCGGCCCCCTAGTCTTGAAGACACTGTTCACACCTTTGACCGGTCGTCTCAGGCTGGGGGTGCTTTTGAGGCGCCTCAAAAGTCGTCTCCTGTCTCGCGGTTTTTATGTGGGGAGAATTATAATTGCATGGAAGTGTGCGCGTAACCTTCAGCGGTTACTTGTAAGGGCGCGGTTACCAAAGTCACTCGCCAATGTTGTCGAAGAAGTTCCCGAAGGCTGACTTGGCACCCTGAATTTGTTTCATTGCCTAGTTGGCGAACCCCTTTCCTAGTTGGATTCTGGGTAGTCGGGTTTCTTGTATGTAGATCTCGAGGGTAGTCTAGCTACTTTAGCTGCTACCAGACTCTCTGTTTCTGAGTTCCGAATTGTGCTGTACTGATGAAGGCGTGATTGGGTTCGCCCATCCGCCGAAACTAGTTTACGCAAGGAGGCTTTTCGGAAGCTAAGGGTTTTTCAGATCTGCGTTTTTTTTTTCACCAGTTTTCACTGTTTGTTCCTTTGCTTAAGCGTCCTCTCTGCTACTGCAGCCCTTCGAAACATGAGTCAGGGCTATACCTGGATGGGGAAGAGGGTGGGTTTAAGGTTGAAGGGAGAGGGGCAGGCAGGCAGAGGGGAGTCAGGGTTTAGGTATTGCCTCACCCCCTTAGACCTGGACAGGGAAGCAAGTGGGGTTTCGGGTTGAGGGGAGAGGGGCAGGCAGGCAGAAGGGAGTCAGGGTTTAGGTATTGCCTCACCCCCTTAGACCTGGACAGGGAAGCAAATGGGGTTTAGGGTTGAGGGGAGAGGGGGCAGACAGTCAAAGCACAAGTCATGGTTAGGTAAAGCCTCACCTCCCTATACCTGGATGGGGAAGCAAGTGGGGTTTAAGGTTGAAGGGAGAGGGGCAGGCAGGCAGAGGGGAGTCAAGGTTTAGGTAAATCCTCACCTCACTAGACCTGGATGGGGAAGCAAGCGGGGTTTAGGGTTGAAGGGAGAGGGGCAGGCAGGCAGAAGGGAGTCAGGGTTTAGGTATTGCCTCACCCCCTGAGACCTGGATGGGGAAGCAAGTGGGGTTTAGGGTTGATGGTAGTGGGGGCAGATAGTCAAAGCAGAAGTCATGGTTAGGTAAAGCCTCAACTCCCTATACCTGGATGGGGAAGCAGGTGGGTTTAAGGTTGAAGGGAGAGGGGCAGGCAGGCAGAGGGGAGTCAGGGTTTAGGTATTGCCTCACCCCCTTAGACCTGGACAAGGAAGCAAGTGGGGTTTCGGGTTGAGGGGAGAGGGGCAGGCAGGCAGAGGGGAGTCAGGGTTTAGGTAAAGCCTCACCTCCCTAGACCTGGATTGGGGAAGCAAGTGGGGTTTAGGGTTGAGGGTAGGAGGGATGGACTGGCACAGCGTGAGTCAGTGTTTAGGAAAAGCTTCAACTCCCTAGTTCTGGTTGGGGAAGCAATTGGGGTTTAGGATCGAGGGGTGAGGGTGCAGACTGGTCGAGTAGGAGTCTAGGAAACGCATACGCAGTGTATCACAGGCAACGCACCTTGAAGTCGACTACGGCTTTGTAGACGATTTCGCGGTGGTTTGCCAGGGGACTATTGCCAGAGGGAAGGCCTTCCGACGAGCTGGTGCTCGGGCCAGAATGGGGAGGTGTTGTTGCAGGCGCTCCGATTGGGAGGGATTGGCCAGCACCCCGACCCATGGCCGACAGCATTTCGGCAAACCTCGCCATCACGCGTCGCTCGAATTGGTCAAGGTCCGCGTTTGTTACACCACCACGCTCCCGGCGGCGATCGCCGGATGCCGCCACAAACGGGGTTTTCTTGGCGGGTACGAGATCGAAACGCTTGGTGGCTAGGCTGAGAACCTTCACTGGTGGCGCAGCTCCGGAGTCCTTGGGTGCTGCTGGGAGGAACGTGACAGAAAGGATAGGAGGAACGTGACAGAAGGGATGGGAGTTGGGTGACGGGAGGGATGGGAGATGGGTGACGGGAGGGATGGGAGGAAGGCAGACAGAAGGGATGGGCTGATTGGCTTACGGCAGGGATAGGACGAGAGCTGACGGTAGGGATGGGACTGCAGGGATGGGAGGATAGGGTACGGCAAGGATAGGGACAACAGGGATGGGACTACAGAGAAAGGATGGGACAGTGCCTTGGGACATCAACAAACATGCCACAAATAGAAAGGCAACATAAGGGCAATAGCCCTAGTTCACTAGAAAGGCAACATAAGGGCAATAGCCCTAGTTCACTGAAACATGCACCTTAACGAGGCAACGTTCTCACCATCGGTTTTGGTGTTGCCCTTCTTAGCGGTCGCTTTAGCCCCACCGCCCGCTTTAGCCTTTACCCATCTTGCCCCAGCGCCTGCTGCCTTTGGAGTTGCCTTCGTTTTGCCCGCAAATTCACCGGTGTTCCGCTTTTTTGATGCACCTCCAACCACCAAGGCGGACTCCTCCCGTTTCGTCTTTCCACCAGGGCTACTCTCTTTCGCCACCCCTTTCTCCACCACTTTCTCCACCACTTTCTCCTTACCCTTAGCCATGGCGACAGCATGTCTCCCTGGAGGTGGCTTAGCCGGAACCTTAGAGGGTCCTGAACGCGACTGTGCTTTCGCACCCTTTCCAGCGAGCTTCGAGCTGACAACGGGTTCCTGGATCTCATCAAGTGCCTTCAGCTTCCCAAGCAGCAAAGCTCGTTCCTCTGCCACAGCCTCATCCTCCACGGCATCACCTTCACTGTCATCCTGCTCTTCCAGCATCTCGTCAAAGCTTGTTTTTTTCGTGACCTCAGGCTTATGAGCATCCGCGCAGGCAGGCACTTCCGCCGTACCGTTTTTCTCATTCCTCTCCACTGCCTCCTCCTCATCCCCCTGCTCATCGTCCGACTCTCCACCCTCCTCGTCCGACGGCTCGTCTCCGGACTCATCTTCCGACTCATTGCCGGACTCCCCACCCTCTTCGTCCTCCGCCTCGCCATCTTCCTCTTCCTCCGCCTCTTCCTCCGCCTCTTCCTCCGCCTCTTCCTCCGCCTCTTTCTCCGCCTCTTCCTCCTCATCTTCCTCCGCATCTTCGTCGGCCTCTTCTTCCGCCTCCTCCTCCGCCTCGTGCGGAGCCTCGTGCTCAGCCTCGTGCTCAGCCTCGTCCTCAGCCTCATCCTCAGCCTCGGCCTCAGCCTCGTCCTCAGCCTCGGCCTCGTCTCCCGACTTGCCGTTGGCCTCTGCCTTGTCCAAATCGTCGCCCTGTCGTTTGTTCCGCGCAGCTGTAACAGGTTCAGCGTCTTCTTCGGTAGCATCCGCACCTTCTGCGTACCACACTCTCGCCTTTCGAGGGCGGTTGGACTTGCGAATATCGCCCCCAGGTGGGCCCTCACCGCTAGATGACCTGGATTTCGGCGGACCCACAGTTCCCTTCTTCTTCGTAGTCTGCTTGACCTTGCTGGGAGATCGTGCCGAGACACCTTTGGCAGAGTTTTTCTTCCCAGACTTCGAGACCTGCAGTTTAGTCGACATTACGCAGACAGGGCCAGAGAAAATCGGGAAACGCTGGGAAACTCTAACGTAACAAAGTATATCGGTTTGCACTGTGGATTGGTAAGTGCTACTAGTGTCGAAACATGTCTTCTTAAACATTCAGGAGATGCAGAAATGAGCCATCATTTAGGAACCGAAAACGTACAGCGTGTTCCGGTCGCGATCACTTGACGGGTCGGGTACTCAGAGTTTGAAGCAGCCCGATTCGGGAACGGGCGCTTTCTACGCGACCCGCTTATAACGATTTGGTATGGACTTTCAACCGGCGCGGCTTGACTCCCGGAAAGAAACTGGACGTGGGTGATACTAGGGAGGCCCCAGAAGCTACTATGCTCGCAGAGGGTAAGGCAGTACGTGGCGCTATGATACGTGCCATTCTGAGAGGCCGTGAAAAACGGACGGAACAGGATATCGTGGAAGCGCGAGGTCGATTATGTTTGCATAGGAGAGTCGCGTGGGTCGCGGTTCGACCATGTCAGAGGTAAGTCGCTGGGAAAAGCGGGGGAAAAACTGTCTTGCGGTGCCGAAGGAAAGACGCCCTCGTGAAGGTGTTGGTCTTTCAGCGTCGTGACTGCTATCGCGAACGGTAGCACAGGACCAGAGAGTCGTGAGAGACGATGGTGGCAGAGGAACTGCTAGGCGTGACCGTGGGCTGGGGTTCGAGGCGGTTGATGATAATGTTGGTTTGATACAGTACAAAACGACGACAGTGGCCAGCACCACATGGCAGAATTGTGGTTTGCGTGGCAGCTTTGTGGTTTGTGCGGCAGGGCAGCTCTGTAGTTTTCATGGCAGCTTTGTGGGTGCGTGGCAATGTGGCAGTACAGTGCAGAACAGTAAAGTTCCGAACTGACCCTAGGAGCAGTGGTAGGAATTTCGCAACGGTCCACTGACCCTATCAAGGTAGAACTACTTCTCGTCGCATCCCGTCACTTAGCCTGCAATTGTCAATCGGCGCACCTGGAGATGACCCTTTGGTAAACCGGAAACTTGTGAGCAGAAAAAACTTTTCCCGAGAACGTTGGGATGTTTCTCTACTTACTAAATGCCAAATGCGTTCTAGTTGCTTGTTTTTCTGAAACAGCTGTTGGATTTGTCTGAAAGATTGTTCCCAAAAGATTGAAAACTCAAGCACACGAAGCCGGCTTTGCAGTCCCACCGCAGTTCTCACCGTCTCTTAGTCTGCAACGTGTGTCTTCGTTTTGCGGCCGCTGAAGGCGCTGGCTCACTACTAAAACGTCGCTCAGTACACGCGTTCGCTATTAACAGAAGAAATTATCCTGCCCCCTATATTTTGGTGCGTTTCAAGTGGCCAGGTGGCATAATTTTCGTTTTACCAAAACACTGAGAAGAATGAAGAACGAGGATGGATGAACTATGAATGAGGTGAGTACATATAGAAAACCCTAATTGGGTTGTACCCCCTATGGGATACCCCACTATAGCCTACACAACAGCATAAGCTATATAATGTTCTGACACACCCCCATAGGCAAAGTGGGGGAGAACAAGGGGTCACAAGACCAGTCAAGCAAAGCAGAGCAAGCTCAGGGTGGATCACAACGTCACCACACAGTCCGAGCACAACGACAAGGCCACAAGGCCAGTTCACATGCAGGAGTACACATATATATATAGAGCTAGACAAGCAAGAGCAGGTATATATATGTGACAGTACAAGTGAGGTCAAGAGGAGAGCAAGTGAGGCAAGACAGGTACAAGACCCAGCTGAGTGCAGAAGCGCTGATGGTCACAAGGCGCAAGTGCCTTGGTGAACACATCAGCAGTGTTGGCCTGAGAGGCCACGTACGCAAGTCGCAACTGACCACGCTGCTGCAGCTCACGAGCAAGAAAGTAACGGAGAGCAATGTGCTTCGTTCTGTGCTCCAAGCGCTGCTCTCGACACAAGGCCAGCATGGCCTTGTTGTCTACGTACAGCACTGGAGGAGAACGAGGCGGCTCTCCAAGGTCAGTCAGCAGGTAGGTGAGCCAGCGAAGCTCCTGTGCAGCCATGGCCCCGGCGTAGATCTCAGCCTCACAACTGGAGCCGAGAACAGAGGACGAGCGAGTAGCTCGCCACGAGACAGAGCCGGAACCAAGACTGAAGGTGTAACCCTGCGACGACCGCTGCGTAGCCTGGTCGTCAGCCCAAGAAGCGTCTGCGTGCCCAGTGAGGACCACTGGACTCCGCCCTCCAAGCACTAGTCCCATGCCCGACGTACTGCACAAGTATCGCAACACCCTCTTCGCTGCAGCCATGTGCTCTGGTCGGTGTCTCCCAGGAGCAACATAGCGTGCAAGAATGCTAAGAGGGTATGCAAGGTCAGGTCGTGTGCAGGTCATCAGGTACATGAGGCAGCCAACAAGCTCTGGATACGGGCCACTCGACTCTACGGACTCATCCGAAGGCAGAGCTGAGAGTGAGTGGCGAGTAGGCAGAGGAGTGGCCTGAGGCGAGGAGTACGTGAAGCCGAAGCGCTGAAGGACCTGCTGCACCATGTGTGACTGAGTCAGGGTAATGGTGCGGCGTGCTCTGTCCCGGGTGATCTGCAAGCCAAGGTAGCTGCGCAGTTCACCCAGGTCTGTGCACGTGTGTCTCTTCTGCAGCTCGGACTTCACGTGGGCGAGTCCAGCAGTGTCAGCTGTGGCAAAGACCAAGTCGTCGACGTACACGAGGATGTAGAACGGCGGCAGAGAGGTGTCGGTGCGTAGAAACAGCGACGGGTCGGCAGTAGAAGGAGCAAACCCAAGAGCCGCAAGCGTAGTCCTCAGTGTGTCGTGCCACTCACGTGGCGCCTGGCGGAGACCGTAGACTGGACGCCGGAGACTCCACTGGGTACCAGGAGGGAAAGACCCAGTGAAGCCAAGTGGGCGGCGCAGCCAGATCTCCTCGTGCAGGCTGCCCTGCAAGAAAGCAGTGCTGAAGTCGAGAGAGTGCAGCTCGTAGTCACGGTGAGCAGCAACGTGTAGCAGCACCCGAAGAGTGGTCATCTTCGGGGTGGGGGAGAAGGTCTGAAAGTAGTCAACTCCCTGTCGCTGACTGAAGCCACGAGCCACGTAACGTGCCTTGAAGACAGGCGGAGAACCCGGCGGCCGCTTCACCCTGAAGATCCACATGCCACTGACGATGTTCGCCCCAAGAGGGGGGACAGCGTCAACGTAGGTGCCTGTGGACTTCCAGGAAGCCATCTCTGCATCCATAGCTGCCTGCCACTGAGAGGAGTAGGGACCCTCTATCGCCTCCGCGTAAGAGCGCGGAGTCGGGATGTCAAGTGCATCCGGGTCTCCCTCAGGGGTAAGCAGTACGGACACGAGATGAGGTGAAGCAGCTGCCAGACACTGGAACTCCTCCTGCCTGTCCTCAAGGACGTCCGTGCCAAGGGCACACTCACCCCCGACTGACGGAGGACAGGCAGACCCAGACTCAGCGACAAGACTAGCAGCGTAGTCTAGGCGACAGCGAGCAGCAAAGTCGACGAGCTCAGTAACTAGGGCAGACGCAGCAGTAGACTCGAAGGAAGGGTCAGTGACGACAGTAGCAAGGAGACGCGTGACAGTAGGACTGGCAGCACGAAGAGAGTCCGACGCAGGGTCGGGAAGAGCAGGAAGAGAGGACTCAGGAGGAGAAGGCAAAGGGGCACGCAGAGGAGCAGTAGACGGACGCAGAGACATCCTGTGCGTGCCAGGGACAGGAGGAGGACGCTGACGCGAACCACGACCACTAGCGCGAGCAGCACGGACAGGCGACGCAGGGCGAGACGCAGGCTCACGACGCTCAGTAAGACCTCCAGTAGGACCAGTGTAGGGAGAAGGAGCAGGCAAAGGGGAGGTAGGCTGTAGCAGTGACCGCGACGGGACAGGCTGTGGACCCTCCAAGAGAGGAGGAGGACCAGGAGAGGGCGGAAGACCAAGAACCTGCTGCAGGAGTGGAACGAAGTACGGTCGAGGCCGCGTAGGTACGCCAGAAACAGCAGGGACCGCACCAGTACCCCCAGCAGGAGCACCCGCTCCAGCAGCACCTCCAGTAGCTCCAGAACCTCGAGCAACACCAGGAGCACCCCCAGCAGGACCGCCAGTGGTAGTCTCAGCGCCAACACCCGCAGCAGCACCAGCTCCAGTCGAACCCGCAGGCCCAGCAGCTCCAGTACTCCCAGTACGAGCACCTCCAGGACCCGCAACAGCAGCACCCTCAGTAGCCGACGAACCTCCAGCACCAGCAGCACGGCTCCAGCGCCGGGCAAACCACTCGCGCAGCTCCTGTGGAGAGAGTGGCTCCCGGCGAGACAAAGCACGCGTAGAAACTCGAGGCGGAGGACCTCCAGGCGCAGCACTCCCAGGTCCAGCACCCCCAGGCAAAGCACCCCCAGGCGTAGCACCCCCACACTCAGCACCCCCAGGCTCAGCACCCCCAGGCTCAGCACCCCCAGGCTCAGCACCCCCAGGCTCAGCACCCCCAGACTCAGCACCCCCAGGCTCAGCACCCCCAGGCCCAGCACCCCCAGGCTCAGCACCCCCAGCAGTACCAGAGGCACCAGTGACCTCGACAGGCTCGACTGCGTCTACCTGGGACACACCTGAAGGGGCAGGACCCTGAGGGGGGAGGGGGTCGACCGGGGGGGGACCTGGTACAAGGAAGAGCGGGGGCGGGGGGGGGGGACGGAGTGCGGTAGGGGAAGAGGCGGTAGTAGGGTACCGACTCGTCGAACGTGACGTCCTGAGAGGACAGAACACGGCGAGAGGTGGGGTGGTAGAACTGCCACCCAGGCGCGTCTGGGGGGAACCCCTGGAAGACGCAAGGAGCAGCACGAGGGGACAGTTTGTCCGCAGACAAGTCGCGGACAAACGCCCGAGATCCCCAGACCCGGAACGCCGACGCATCGCCCACCTTCCCGGTCCACAGCAAGGCTGGGGAGGTCTCCGGCCTGGAGACCCTGGGGTGAAGGTTGATCTGACGTGCCGCGTACCTCACCGCAAACGGC